GATAAACAACAACGGCGTTTTGATTCGTAATAAGACAATAAAAATGAAAAATATATTTTTTGACAAAGTCTTAATGTATACATTGATATACCAAAATGTTCGTTATTAAACAACATTGGGGGAAAATGGGGTAATTTCGTTATTTTCGACGTTGAAGTTCGACATGGATGACAAAAATGATGAATGAATTTTACTTGCCCATTTAAGATCACGCTAGGCCCACTTTTGCTTGAATCCGCCACTGTTCAGTAGTATGTTTTTGCGATAGAGACGATTATTTTTTTGGTCGTGTCGTTCGGTTCATACACGAGTTGTGTTGTTCCTTAATGTGAATGGTTATCATGTAAACAATTTGATTAATTATGGAAATAGATATTAGAAAGTTAAAGAATGTGCTTAAAGGAATTTTAACAAAAAATGTATGCATAAAAACCCCAAATATTGACAAATTCCTGCAATTTGTCGAGGAGACAGGTAAGCAAAGGCTAATAAATTATTTAATTTTAAAATAATACATAATACAAAACAAACAACAAAATTAGCACCATGTTTAAGTTTCAACGTTTCGTACCTATATTATATGATTGAAGTTAGTTTTTTACAATATAAAAACTTTTCGGAAACTAAATATTTTAATTAGACTATGCATTTAGTAAACATGTTTATCTTCAGGCGTTCTATAATTTAAACTTTATTTTTGTCAACACGCACTACTGAAGTTATCGCTTAGATTGTAAAAATAATTTAGACCAATCGGGCAGTTTTTTTATCCCTAGTCTGTTAAAAACTCGTTTGGACCAATAAAAAAAATTCGACTACTGTCATTTCTATCTAACCTTACTTTCTAATTTTAATAATTATTATAATAATTATCCATTATATAATATAATTTATATTATACAATTATTGTATGTTTTATGTATTGTTCAACAAATAAAATTATCCATTGAAAACAAAATGTTCTGTCATTCGAATGAGAAGTGTCTTTTTGTGCTTCGCTCAAAACTTTGATCTCGGCACAAAAAGACTCACTTCTTAGCCTTATGACATAAATAATTATTTGATGGTAATAATTATAATTATTACCATTGATCAATTATTGCTGTTTATTAAAAAAATATAACCGTAGGGCCAGTAAAAAAATTGTACCAAATCAAAGAAATTTTTATAAATGAATTAATTAAATAATCAGTTTTATTAATAAAAACTAACTATTTTAAAATTCATTTAATTGCCGTTGAGTAAAGCACACAATTGTCAATTTTCAATATTTCAAAACTAAACAAAACCAAGTAGATGTCCACGCGCATTTTAAAATAATATGCCCTTAAAATTTTGAAGAAAATATTCATAATTTATCTATTAGTTTACAGTAGGAAAAAAAGTAAGGAAAGGTTTTGGACTTTCATTGCTGTAGAATGTTTATTAATATAAGTAAGGTACATACGGGTGTATTTATATTTAAGCAGGGTGCACTGGAGCATCAAGGTGGAACGAAGCGCCTTAGTTCGTCCAGGTGCACAGTGGGCTAGATAGCCAATTTAACGCGAAGAAATTATTTGGTTAAGTAATTCTTAGTTAATGTTAATTTTTTTGGTCTTATTGATAAAATTTCAATAAAAATTACTTTTTACTACCAATAGAAAAACAAATCGACAATATAATACTTTAACAAAAGTATATTTGTGTGAAGGCAAAATTAAGATCTAGTTTTAATGAGTAAATTACAAAAATGTTCAGTTATATTTTTGTAATTTATATAAAAATAAAACCTAATTGTTACGTATGACAGTATTTTATACAATAATATTACTTTTGAGCTTTCAGCGTTTTTCTATATTTTTTGAAAAAAAATTAAATTTTTAAATTAAGTTTTTTCCGAGATCCATTTACTTTTGTAAATGCATAGTCTACTAAGTAATTTAAAAGCAACTTTCTATTAAAATGCTTCAAACAAAAAATATTTGTGGCGCCTATTAGCTCTTGATTTTAGATTTATTTAAAAGAATTTAAAAGCTATTAAAAACACTTAACAGAGAATGTGAGAATGCGTGACATTTTTTAAAACCTTAGTATTGTTCATACATACATAAAAAATATGCAGCGCTTTCTTTATTGAGGTAGGGACAGTACAATAATTATAAAAACTTACCATTATTTGTTTCAGCCATAACGTATGACAGTATTGAATACAATGATGGTCAAAAATTAAAAATAAATTAGGAATTAACATTGTAAGAGAAGCAAAACCTTCACGCGCAATTTACCAACACAAAGCAAGTAATTATAATTCTTAAATTTTGACTGGTTACCTGATAAAAATTCAACAGATTTGAAAGTGATATAACATTATTTGATTTGCTACAGATATTAAAAAATTCAAAATTCACTAAATTTTGTCGAAATAAAACACTTACTCATTTTAAATTTTCGCGCGCTGGAAGCGCTCTCTAGCCTACCGCGGTGGTGGCAAAAAGTATTAATATTCACTAATAGTTATCAGTAATTAATTTAAAATTATTAATTGTTATTAATTAGTAGCTTTTTAATTGATGGTTTCCATCACCAATGTATGACAATATTTAATACAATGATATTTCTTCTGGGCTTCCAGCGTTTTTCTATATTAAAAAAAAAATTGAATAATTTTTTTTTTCGAGATACATCTATTTTTGAAAATGGGTAGTCTACTAAGTAATTTAAAACTAATTTTATATTGAAATGCTTCAAACTAAAACACTTTTCACAAAGCTCCGTATGAGTTAGGGATAATGTATTAACTGAAAAAAATAAACAAACCATATTTGTTGCGCCTAGTAGCACTTGATTTAAGATTTATTTGAAAGACAGAACGGTAAGCTATTAAAAAAACCTAAACACAAAGTGTGACAGTGAGTGACATTTTTTAAAACCTTAATAATGTCCATACATACATTAAAAGTATGCAGCGGTTACTTTATTAAGGTAGTGACAGTACAATAATAATAAAAACTAACCATTATTCGTTCCAGCCATAACGTATGACAATATTTAATACAATTTTAGTCAAAAAGTAAGAATAAATTAATAATAAACATTGTAAGAGAAGCAATACCTTTACGCGCAATTTATCAACAGGAAGCAAGTAAGTATAATTCCTAAACTTTGAATGGTTACCTGATAAAAATTCAACAGATTTGAAGGTAATTTAAAGATGTTTCATTATCTACAGATATTAAAGAATTCAAAATTCCCTTAATTTGGTCGAAATAAAACACTTACGTATTTAGAATTTCTTCGCGCTAGAAGCGCGCTCTAGCCTACTGTGAGGTGTGACGAATCCATGCATGGTTTAATTTTAAGGTTACAACTGTTTAACAGCGGTTTCCAGACGTTCCTGATGAAGGCTTACTAAAGCAGCATGACCGCTGCATCCTTGAACTTCCTCTTCCTTTAGTGTGGATCTTTGTGCAAATTTTTTTTGACCACCTGATTCACCCTCAAAAAGGAGACCAATATATCAGCAGTAGCTGACCACGCCTCGTCACATGGTCAGCATATCAAAAACTAAAGAAATAACCCTGAAAGCATAACCTAAAATACTATTAGTGAAATCTGTTTCACTAGACAAACATGTAAAAAAGCCTGAAAATGATTAATTGTCATCTTAACAACAAATTTTGAAAATTGGTAAAGTTAACCTTAAATTTATTGGAGCCCTGCATGTAATATTTTATTTCTGGAAAACATATCATTAAGAGAACTTATTACTTTTAAATATTTTTAATAGCTAATAAGCCTAGGCACACATTATCTTCATTTTTCCTTTATCTTTACAGTCGTCTTTGTTTTTTAAACCATATATGGGGCAAAATTAACCAAATGTACAAGCTGAAAAAATTTTTGTCACCGATTTTGTTTAAACTTTACTTATTTGTTGTTCTTATAACGAAGAATCATAGCATAATTTTTTTTTGCTCTAGGATTGTTCATTCAAGAGTTATGGATTATTGAAATTTATCGATTTTTTACTTTTTGGTGAAATCGCTTTTTATTTAAAAATTCATAACTTCTGTTCATCTCTTTATTAAATATTTCAATTTAACCATATTAAATGATTTTTTCCGTACTTTTCAATGGGCTATATCGTTTTTGCAAAAAAATAAAAATTGCAATTTTTTTTTTGAAATTTTGCAAAACTTTGCACTTTTTGAAACAATGTGTATTTTTTAAATTTTTTTAAAATAGCATAAAATCCAAGTTTATTATGTTAACTTTGAACAAAAAAAAATTTAGAGTGTTCCCGACATGTAGAAGGGAAGTTTTTCATATTTGAATGCCGCACGGTCTAGCCATCGAATAGCTACTACACTGTGCCGTATGCGTTTATACCTAGTAGATGCGAGTAAACGAATACAAAATGATAATTTAAAATGTAAAATTATGTTTGAGTAGTCAATGATGTATTTTATTTAAAAAAATGTATTGTTATAACCGTAAAGGCGCCATTCAGCTTATAGGCAAGCCGTTACGGTTATAACAATAATTTTTTTATTTAATATCATCGATCCTCCTTGCGAAATCTATATAGACCCATGCTTAAACAATTTGTGCAAAAAAATACAGTTAAAAAACTATATCGTGCGGCAGTGTAAATATTTAAAATACATCATTGACTACTCAAACATAATTTTACATTTTAAATTATCATTTTGTATTCGTTTACTTGCATCTACTATTCGATGGCTAGACCGTGCGGCATTCAAATATGAAAAACTTCCCTTCTACATGTCGGGCCCACTCTAATTTTTTTTTTATTCAAAGGTAACATAATAAACTTGGATTTTATGCTATTTAAAAAAAAATTAAAAAATACACATTGGGTCGTATGAATAAAAAGAAAGCAAATACTCATGAGCATGAGGAAACGCTCCAAGCAAAAGCTTAGAGGAAAAGGTCGGAGCATGAGCATCTACTCCAATTTGTATAAATAATGATTTGCTTGCAGAAATTAATGTAATCTCGTTTTGCGTCTGCAATAATTTGCCCGCGTTGTGAATGTAAGTGTAATTAAAATGTCTTCAGACGAGTTAAATGATGAAGAAAAGGGTACCAATCTGTTAGTAGCAATGCAACTGCAAAAAAGACCGGAAATTCTTACAAAATCGCAAATTCCGCATATGAAAACTAAGAAAAACGAGGCCTTAAAACAAGCAGCCACAGAATTAGAACGGGAAATTAGAAAACCATTAACCATTTCGCAACTTATGAAAAAAGTAAACAACATGAAAACGAGACTAAAAAAAGGTTGACAGAAACAAAACAGGTAATAAAAAAAATGTTTTGAAGAAGTGGGAAAAAATTATACATTAATTAATGGATAGAGACGAGAATCCGACGATAGGCAAAATACAAGGTAAGTTTTTATATATTGTTTTAACATACCAGAACCCTGATGGATTATTTTATTCCAGGACCAAAAAGTATTGGACTTTCTATTTCCACAACTGCGAGGAATGTAGACGACGAAGAATTATCTTACTCTTCATCATCGCTTCGGTCTCAGAAAGCAGAGGAAGATTTGTTTATTTCACGGCCGACAAAACCGTTGAAGCCTCAAACAAAAAAGATCCTGCATTCATATGAAACAGAGGAAACTTCCAAATTGACAACACAGGAATTACAACGACTGGTTCTCATCGAACAATTACAGACTACTCGTATTCAGAGGAAGTTTTATGAACAGGCAATAATAAGAGCACCGGAACAGCCAAATCACCGTTAAGATGATAACTCATTTATACTAACACACCTTTGAATAAAATTAGTATATTTTGAGCTGTATTTATTAATAATTCTTTATTAAAGATATACTTGTTTACTTTTGAATTAGTTTACATGAACATAACCATTTTTACCTAAGATCTTGTCCAAGGATAACATCGGCTATTTCAAGTCGTCTCTCTCGTGCACGCTGTAGAAGTGTAGTCTTCACCGTTCTGATAATTATCGTCTGGTTCTGCATTATATTCAAAATCAGCATCTCCTAAGTATTTTGCAATATTGTGAAGTACGATACAACAAATAATGACTGATGGAACGTTTTGTAATTTAACTCGGCACATATATTTCAGAACTGGAAACCTGCGCTTAAGTTGGCCAAAGCACCTTTCAATTATCACTCTTTCTTTCTTAAACAATCTGTTGTAGGCTCTTTCAGATGCGTTATTGGGGATTCTAAATGGTGTCATTAGCCACGGTTCTAATCCATATCCATCATCGCCCAGCAATACTGCACCAGGAAACTGCTGCATAGTTACACGTATATCAGAGTTCTTCCAAATTCTAGCGTCATGTACAGAACCCGGCCAACTTACATCTGCACTAGTAAACATTTCTAATGAGTTGCATGTTGCCTGTACATTTAAAGTCGCCAATCCCTTCCTGTTAATGTATTCATCACCGTGTTGATGCGGTTTCAAAATCTGAACGTGTGTGCAATCAATTACACCAATAGCACTGGGAAACTGAAATTTGTTTTGCCACGCCTGCTGTGCGTCGTTTACTTTGATCGACGTTGACGGAAATTTGATCCACAAATGGGCCTTTTCAATTATTTTGTTCATAATATAAGAAATCGTTTTTGAAACAGTCGACTGATCGATTCCCAGTTCTTCTGCAACACCCGTCTGAAATCCAGGATTGGCCATATACCTCAAGAAAACCTTTATTTTATGGTTTGAAGAAAGAGCGCCTCCTCTTCTTTCATGATTTTCTCCCAAAAAGTAGGTTGACATCCAATTTACATTTTCTTCTTCAAATCGGTAAAGAGATTTAAAATAATAATAATAATAATAATAATAATAATGATTTATTTGCAGAAATAACTACATTTTATGAAAATTATAAAATAAAGATATATCTTTACATTAGCACAGTTCTGCAAAAAGGACTAAAAGGCAGTAAAAACTGATATAAATTTAGCCCAGAAAAGTATACATACAGTTTAGAAATTTAAAAAAACAAACAAATTAAAGCTAAAACACTAATAACAACCAATTATATGATCTTTTGAAAAGACAAACGTACAACAAATTAATCTAACTAACACTAAATCTAAAACTGGCTATCAAATAAATTGGCTTTAAATTTAAATTTAAAATTTAAAAGATTTAAATTCTTAAGGTTTAAAGAGAGTCCATTATATAAGCTGTAAATGTTATAAGAGAAAGATCTGCGAAATAATACAGTATGATGTGAAGGTGGTGAAAGCATACCCTTAAAACGTAAATTCAGATTGTGAACATCGCTTCTAAATGTAATTTTGTTATACAGATATGGGGGAATTTTACTAATTATAATAGAATGATACAGCGTCGCAGCATGTAGTTTCCTTCGATTTAACATATTTAGCCATTTGGCATTTTTAAGTTTAAATGATACTGAATCATATTTCCGAATTCCGTATATATAGCGAAGACAACTCTTCTGCACCCTCTGTATGCGACATTCGTCTGCTTTTGTTAAACAGGGACCATAAACTGTGTCGCAATAATTAAAATGGCTCAGAACCAAGGTGTCACAAAGTTTTATTTTTAAATCTTGGGAGAGAATATGGCGATGTGGAAAAAGAGTTTTTAAACCAGCATAGCACTTTTTTAAAGTATTAGAAATGTACGATGAAAACCTTAAGTTCTCATCAAATAGTAATCCAAGGTTTCTGGCCGTTTTAGTATATACTAATTCATTCCCTTTAACTTTTAGTTTAAAATTGTTTAAAAAATTTTCCCTGTTCTGGCCAAATATAATAAAACATGACTTGCTAGAATTTATCTTAAGATGGTGGTTTTCGGAAGTCATTACTAAACTATCTAGGTCATTGTTTATATGATTGGCAGCTTGAAGCATTTGTGATGGTAGGAATGAGTACATCAGTTGTGTGTCATCAGCATATAGAAAAGGCTTGCAATAATTTAAGTTGTTGATGAAATTAGACGTATACAAACAAAACAACAAGGGACCTAAAATTGAACCCTGAGGAACACCGCAAACTACAAACTCTTCACTAGATTTGCCTTTGTTTGTTTCGACAAATTGCTTTCTTTGGCTTAAGTAGTTTTTAATAAGTTTTCTGGATTCTTCCGAGAATCCAATAAAATGAAGAATAGAAAGGAGTATATTGTGGTTTATAGTATCGAAGGCTTTGGAATAATCCAAAAGTATTAAAATTGATGTTTTACCTTTATCAACCTCTTTTAAAATATCATCCACAACATCCAGAAGAGCTGTAGCACAGCTAAAACCTTTTCTAAAGCCTGATTGACAAGAAGGTAAGATGTTGTTATTGTTAATATAAGTTCTGATTTGAAAGTTAATGATCTTTTCTAGGACTTTAGACAAAACAGGTAAAATTGATATGGGCCGTAGTTCATCCAAGCTGGAAATATTAGTTTTTTTTGGCAAAGGAAATACTTTAGAAATTTTCCAGATATCTGGGAACACAGAATCTAGCAAACATGAATTAAGAATGTTTGTGATATATGGTAGAATATAAGGACAACATAACAATATCATGTCTATCTTATTTCGTCTACACCTACGGCTTTAGTTTTTATTTCCAAAATATATTTGTATATAGTTTGTTCTGATACTAATTTAAAATAAAAAGGTGAATTTAAGCTATTTAATTTATTTTTATTATAGAAGTCTAATAATTTAGCATCAGGGGTTTTATTTAGAGAAAATTGAAGAAAAAAGTTATTAATATTATTAGGATTATTAATTAAGTCTGGAAGCTGAATGGATTTTTTTTTTATGTATATCAAGAATATTTAATGTATCCCATAGTGCTTTGTTTTTGTTTTTGTGTTTATCAATGCAAAATTGTAAATAACTTTTTTTTTCAACTCTGATGGCATTGGTGGTAAAATTTTTCAAGCTCTTATAGTATGTCCAGTGATTCTCCATTTTGGTCCTTTTAAATTTATTTAACGCTTTATCCCTTAATTTCATTAGTCTGGCAATGTTATCAGTTAACCAAGGTGGCTTAAATTTTTTAATGGTTAGTTTCCTTAGAGGCGCTAGTGTATCAAAGATGTTCAATATTATATCATTAAATATTTTTACCTTATTGTTAACATTGTTGTCAAATAAAATATTGTAAAAAGGAGAAACCGATAAAAATTCCAAAAGCAGATCCTTATCTATTCTCTTTAAATTTCTCGAACTAATAATTTTGGGCTCGTTAATTTCAACCTTTAGTTTTAATGAACAAAAACATAACAAATGATCTGATACATTAAACACTTCCTTAGTTCCACTGCTACAGTTATCAAACCGATTAGGAATAAGAATTATATCCAAAAGAGTGGCTGAGGATTTTGTTAAACGGGTGGGACTATTTACTATTTGCCTTAAATTAAACGTATCTATTGATTCCATAAATTTTATTGTTTCGCTATTATCCTTTGTTAAATCAATATTTACATCGCCTCCACAAAAAATCTCGCCATATACAGGAAGAAGCCCAGATAAAGTGTCTTCAAATATCTCATAGAATTCGGAAAGACTCTTTGATGGGGGTCTATATAAAACACCAAAGGCATAAGAGAAATTATGAACATTCAAACTCACCCATAACTGTTCTAAACAATCGCTTGCGTGGATGCTCAGTACGTTATACTTTAGATTTTTTTTTATGTAGATACCCACTCCACCCCCTCTCAAACCTCTATCCTTTCTAACTAAGTTAAAACCCTCTATTTCTACGTTAATATTAGGAATGTTATTTGATAGCCACGTTTCGGAGATACCAATAACATCATAGTCTTCCCCTAAAATAAAACTTTTAAAATCAGGAAAGCCACTAGTTAAGGATCTTACATTCATAAAGGCAAAACTAAAATCCTTCATAATAAATTTACGCAATACAATAAAATACAATAAAATTTCTACAATAAAATAATTTAAATAAAAAGTTCAATAAAGCAGCCAGAACGGTAAAAAAAAAAAAAAAAAACTTATACAACAATTAAAATATTCAGCAACAGATGTACCTATGACGATCATAATTACGTTTATTAAAAGACAAACATTTAAAACTATTTTTTTGAAGATGAGGGAGAAGCAGTTGACCTTAAATTTCGTGGTACAGATTTTTGAGTTTTTGATTCTGTTTTATTTTTTTTGTTAATTTCTTGTTCTGATTCTTCTAGAGGCCTCTTTTTATTTGTATTTTTTTCAGTTTTATTTTCTTCGGTTTTCTGTTTTTCTTCCTCAGTTGGGTTAATATTGTCCCTGGTATGCGTTGTATCGATGTCTTCTTGCAGTTGTTTGGAAGTATATTTCTTTCCGTTTAATATAATGAATGTATCTCTCAGTATGCAGTCTAGTTTATTTTCCTTAGCTTGCTTATAATGTTCCCAAAGAAGTTTCTTGTCTTCTCTCTCTTCTTTGGTGAGATCGTTGGAGATGGAGATATTTGTACCCTTGAATTTTGTAATATTTTTGTAGATCTCTTGTTTTTTTAGGTTAGATACAAATTGTATTAATATAGGCTTATTTTTCTGTTCCTTTTTCCCTAATCTATAAAGATTATTTATGTCTTGTTTTGTAATTGAAATATTTAGTTTATTTTCCAAGAGAATCTCGCCTATTAGCTTCTCTTCGTACTTTGTATAATTTCTGTGCACGTAAATTCACGAAATCTACCATTTTATGACAAGCTGATTGAAAGGTGCATCTAATACCAACGAGATGCAAAAATTTTAAAGCATGTGCTCAAGGTAGTAAGCAAAACATTTATTTTATTCATAACAAGTTGAGGAAATACTTAAATGTGAGTAGACGCTCATGCTTATACTAAAGTTTTGAGCAAAAGCTTTTACTTACCTTTTTATTCATAAAATATATAGCATATGCATATTGCGAGTAAAAGGTTTTGCTCACTTTTATTCATACTACCCATCGTTTCAAAAAATGCAAAATTTTGCAAAATTTCAAAAAAAAATTGCAATTTTTATTTTTTTGCAAAAACGGTATAGCCCATTGAAAAGTACGGAAAAAATCATTTAAGGTGGTTAAATTGAAATATTTAATAAAAAGATGAACAGAAGTTATGAATTTTTAAATAAAAAGCAATTTCACCAAAAAGTAAAAAATCGATAAATTTCAATAATCCATAACTCTTGAATGAACAATCCTAGAGCAAAAAAAATGTATGCTATGATTCTTCGTTATAAGAACAACAAATAAGTAAAGTTTAAACAAAATCGGTAACAAAAATTTTTTCACCTGGTACACTTGGCAAATTTTTTCCCCATATAACTTATAATATATTATATTTTCGTTTTAATTTTAAAATTTGTTGCCATTCAGGCTCGTGGGGTGATTTTGATCCCATACTATTTTTCTTTATAAATTTGTATTTTTTAACATTTCCTGAGTATAAGAACGTATGGCAGGCCCGATCAGCAACGCCTTACACTGATCTTCCAGGATTATTTTACCCCTTTTCGGTTCTCCTACATATCCCCTACGAATCGATGGTTAAGGCCATTCCCGGAATTTTGTCGCCGGGTCGGACCATACGCTTGATTTAGGCTAGTAGAGTGTAGGACAAGGAGGGACAATATTTGGTTTTTGGGGGCCTTGAACTTACCCAAAACTAAGTACAATCAGGGTTTTAGTAATAACCCTATTCATTTGGGGCTAATGAATGGGGACACCACCAAGAATAATTCTTAGTAGTATCCCTTCCATGCTTGCTCCCCACTGTGCGGTTGCGATTGTTTATTTTCGCTTAGAACGTTTAAGGAGTCAGCCACTTCGGTTGGTTACCCAATTTATGGTGCCCTTAATGTCTTAGTAAACTACAGATGTTTATTTCTTTAGGATTAGTGATTTATGGCTTCTTATGTTTGCCCTTGTGTTCATAGTTTTTTGACTGCTTGCTTTAAATTTGAAACTAATTGTTTACCTGCAGGTAAACCATGGTGGGTTCTTTAACTAACAAAGAACTTTTTTGTTAGTTAAAGATTGCGGATTTCTTATTAAAATTTAGTATTATTATTTGGGAATTATATGCATATATAAATGGTCATGTAATTTTGGTAAATTATACTATCTTATTTATGTAAACTTCGGGTGAATTGCCAGGTAGATGTGATGTAATTGTTCCTTAACTTCAACCGCCCACTTTAGTACGTGTAGTAGTCCAGGAAGTTATTCGTTAAAACTGATCGTCTCACTCACACCTTTTATCCAGGTAAAACACTTGAGGACTTAAACCAGGGGGAGGTACCACATGCAATTTGCACTGTTTTAGCACTAATACGAAATTAACAAAATAAATATCTTTCAGTAAATATTTAACTAAGTAATTATTTACCACATTCGATAGAAAAAGAAGCTAGAGTAAAGATCGCAAATGAGTTTTTCATAACTTTTTATAGTTTTTTTCGTCCCATTTTTTTTTGACAAAAATAGCACCTCTTTTGAGTTGCGTTCAGTATTAGCGGCTCTGGTCTTCCTTTTTATGTAGACTCATCCAGTTGTCGTTTTGGGGGTCTTGATAAAGATTATACACTTTTTCTGACATAATATGCTCAGTTGCAAAATTTTAAGCCAATTGTATCGAAAAATTTGACGTTTTAGTTTATTTCTAGAGGATGGCCTATTATAACAATTATTGTTATAATTGTTGTGTTTATTTATCTGAAATAAGTATGTATTATTTTTAAGGTAATAATGTAATATTTTATTGACTTGTTCCATTGTAACAACAGAAACTACAAAAAATAAAGAAATTACCATAGCAAGTCCAAGTTGCACTATAGGTCGCGTGGGGTGCAAATGCGCTTATAATTTTTTAAAGAAATACCACAAAAAACTGACAAACGCTGATAACTGTAAAACAAAACTGTCAAACTTTTAAAGGAAAACTTATAAGCATAAGACCTATATGGGGTTTTATAAGCAAGATACAGTTACGCTGGGATCGTGGACACCCTGCCCCCTATCTAAGGGTTATATAAATTTCTATATAAATATAGGTTTTTTTAAGTTTAATTATGATAACGATTAGTGATAGCAAAATGTTTTTTGTAATTTACAAATACTAAATTATTTAAATATTTCTTTTCACGTCAATTTTCCATGTCTTCCTGCGTATAAGCGTTCAATTACACAGAACAACTTTTATGAGTGAATAAATGATCTTTTTTAACTTTAACTTTTAACTTTGTAGGTATAATTTATTTTATTATAAACAAGTATTTTCTTTAAAGATAAATAATAATAACCATTATTGATTTTTGTTTTGCAACCATAATACTTTTAAAATAAACCATGCCCATAAAACATGAAATAGATTATTTAAAAATTTTAATGTATTTTATTTGTTTCAGAAAATGGCAAATCCACCAATCAAACTGTATTGTATACTTCTTTTATAAGGGATACTCTAACAAAATGGGAGAATGAATGCCCAGAAAAAGAGCAAGTGATATTCCTTATGGATCTAACATCAATTCTATCAAAAACACAGACAACATTTTTAGTTCTTCACAATTTCAATGTCCACAACAAACTGATCGGTCTTATAAAAAATCTGCACCAAGGAGAGGATGTCGAGTTAAACTTAACCTTTTGCAGAATGCTTCATTCGCTTATGGAAACGAAATTTGGCCTTGAATGGGTCGTGGGCGCGTCTAGTACCTGGAACCATATTCTGGAATTCTACAAAAAATACCCAACAGAAAGGTTTACTATGGAGATATCCACATGTGTTGGAAAATTATTTTTGAAAACTGCTCCTCAGCATAAAATGTTTAATATAGATTTAATACAAATTGCTATACCTGAATTTTTATCACTAACGTCGAAACCATTGAATAATACTAGTGAATCTGTAGAGGAAGAGTGGCAAAAAAAACTTGATCCTGAAATTAGTTTAAACATAAAATGTTTTGATTATTTTAGTATGAATATGGACAAAGACGTATTCGCACATTGGGTGCTATACTTTGATAGAGTGCTTAATCTTAGCCAAAGGTATTATAGCCTATTGGCATCCGTTAAAAAGGAAAAATTAACCTTACAAATAAGTAAAGTCCTTTTGTTAATAAAAATATTTGAAGTCAAACAGGTTTCAGAAAGCTCCAAAGACATTTGTTCAACCTACAGAAAAAGTCTTATAAAGTTGCTGGAAGTGAACATACAACGAGGATTTATTAACAATGTTTTAGAGCTTTGTTTTATAGGCCAAATACACTGGAGAACGGTTGGTAAACTTCTCGAATTAGAACCTGACCAAATGCCAATTTCTTTTGAATTCGATTTGCTTATAGTTCAGATGATGCCTGCTTATATAACTGATTCAAAAATACTGGGAAATAAGATTTTCAATGAGAAAAATGCGGATGGTGCTTTTAGAGAAAGTTATATGGATTACTGTCGGGATAAAGTGGATACAACTGTAATGGTTTTATTGTACAAATTTAGAAATATTTTGGAATTTAAGTGCATAATAGAAGAAACACAAAAATCCATTGAATATATTTCAAAATCCAGTTCAAAATACGGAAAGGAAAGCGCTATTACTTTTTTCAGACTTTTGGTGTACTGTTTAGAAGACTTTGTAACTGTAGTAAATACAATTAATAAAGTTTCTTGTGAGAATTTCAATGAAAAACTGATTGCTGTAACTTTGGATGCTCTTATTATTTGCATTAAAGAATATGATGTCTCGTGGAAAAATAGTGTAGAATGTATTTTCATTCTAAAAACTGTGGTTGACTTTTTAAATATTAAATTGTTTTCTGAAACGGTACCAATTTGCAGTATAATTAATTATATAATATTATTTTTTTTTATTTTTAGCTTATTGTTAAAGCCCTTACACTTTTAAATTTATCAATATTAAAGTATATGTCTCCAAATTTAGTCCTTTTGATAGACAAAAATGACTCAACCATGTTGTGCATTGGACCTTTACTTTACATTAAATTAAGAGATAATAGTACAAACATAAGAAATGCTGCTATAAAAGTATTAATTACTATTTCAGAGATTTCCCAAACAAGTAGGTTTTTTTATCGTACTTGTTTTTTCACTACATACATAAAATAATATAATAGAAATTATATTTTAGAATTTCCCTACTACCAACAAATCATATACAATTCTGAGTTACATTTGGTAACATACAAAATTGTATGCAGTGACGAGGATGTAAATCTTAGAAAAAATGCTTTAAAATGCTTACAGCAAATGGTGTTAATTGGTGATATTTGGGAACATTTACTTAAAGAGCAAAACTTAAAGGTAAGATTATAATTCCTTCCAGAATTTGGTATAATAAAATTACCCAACGACCAAACAATTTTCGAGTTTTTATTGATTCTGATAAAAAAATATATGGACAGGTAATAATATACAGGGTGTCCAAATTGTTATGCGATAGCATTGCTATCTTGAAAACGCTTACAAGAGCGGTTCAATTAAAGAAAAGTTGCGAAAAAAAATCAGAGGTTCTCAAAATATTTCGAAAAAACTGAAATTCTTTCCAAACCAAAAGTCGCTATAACTTCGTTATTACTGGAAATTTTTGAAAATAGTAAGTTTGACACATGCACGTTTATCTACATTTGTATCCAATCTGTGTACTTCCACCTACTAGATTTTTAGTTACAACCACCATCTTTCGTTTTCCCATGGCCGCCATATTGTAATTTAACATGGTTTTATAGAAAAAAATCAGGGAATTCATGATTTATTACACTTGCTACTTTAGTTAAGAAGAAACTCATAAACATATGTTTTATTTTAATTAACAAACTAATGTTGTTTTGGCAATAAACAATTATTATTGACATTAAAGTTGACTTTACAATCTAAACCAAGTGACACTTAAGCCTGATTTATAGATAGCCTTCCTTCATTCGTTCCTCCCGTGAAAGATGAACAATACGAAAACCGTAGTGCTGTTTATATATATAAACAGCACTACGGTTTCCATATTTGCCATCTTCTACGGGAGGAAGGGAGGAAGGAAGGAAGGCTATCTATAAATCAGGCTTTACTGTTCTTCCGTAGTTAAAAACCACTGCCCTCTAGAGCTACAATACCTGAACTATATCTATTTGTAAATTGCAGACATCTGTACAAACGCTATTTGCAAATGTCAATGTCAATCATAATTATTGATGTCGATCAAAATTTTTGAATTATTAAATACATTTTTGCGCCTTAAAAGTGATAAAACGTGTTAATTATTGTGAAATGTATTGTTGTTGGGCGCGGAAATGTTACCAATTTGTAAGTATTATCTCGTTATTATTAAATTATTCTCTTAGAAAAAAAGACGCATTTTAACTATACATACATTTTTAAGTACTATAGCTCCTAAAAATTTCTAATTTAATTTAACGTATCTTAGAAAAAAACAATAAAGCGCTATAATTTATAAAGTAAAAATGTGGAGTTGCGTCTTTTTGGCTAAGCATGGCAGTATCGCTCTAGCGTAAAAATACTGTTTGTTAATTATGAATTATTTAGGATTGCTTGTTTAATGGTAATTTAGTCCAGGTCAAGCCCAGGCTCCTTATGGTTGTTTCAAAACTAATAGTTGGGAAGATGGATTTTCACGGTTGGTTAGAACTTGCCAAAAGTCCACACTGAAAAGCCTTGTACAAATTCCTATATGTATATGTATAAGTAGCCTGGACTAAATTACCAAATTTTGCAATATTCTCTTATTATTGAAGAATTAAGACTAATATTTTTTAGGTTTGCACTCCACAAACAAAAACATATTCATGTATACCGATTATGTTTTTAATGACAAATAGATGTATGTATTTTATTTTATATTATATTATTAATACAATAAAATAAATAAATATTGTATTCATACTTGTGTTATTTAAAATACAGCAGTAAATACAATATATAAAGGCCCCCTACGAAGCATAAACATTTAAATATGGCGCCAATATATGTTACAGAAATCTACTTCAATTTTTGGCATTGCTAAGGGTATTGTAGACCTAGATGGCGTTAATTTACTTCAGCCTTTTGCTGCTAGCGCTAGTGCAGTTTCCAATCTATGGGGTGTATTATCTTTGGTTAAAAATACACTTAAGTTAAATTAAAATATAATTAGAAACCAAAAACAAAATAAAAAGTGAATAAGTAACATTATAAATTGTTAATTTGTTGTTAAAATGGCAAAATTAGGGTTTTAAATTGTTATATTATATTTTTGTGTTTCTTAACTTGGCAGCACAAAATTTGAAATGGCAATTTTAAAAAGTGCTAAAAAATTGTTTTTTGAGATTTCCATAAAAAATGTACTGTAATAATGAATTTGCTTGCCTTTTACTTGATCCTCATTTTTGCTCAAGTATAGAAACGAATTTTTAAAAGAATCTATGATGCCCACATTCTATGGAAACTTTTCAAATGAACATAAGGTAAATCGACATTTTACTTGCAAAAGGGCGCGAGTCGCATTCGCCTTATAAGGGAAGAAACCTCAAGTCCAATCTTATACTCGCTAAATTTTCTCAAGAAATACCACTCGAGGTTGGATTAAGCCGTATATTTTATTTACTTTTAACTTAAACTTGGTGGTTTGACTTTCAAATTTAGGCGACGAAATTAATCGAGCTGCGCTCTCGTGATTTTGTCGAAGGAGATAAGGCGTTCTTCAGTTGGATTTGTATGTATCAGAGCATTTTAAAAATAACTGGTCTTGTCTAAAAATATTAAGATAAAATAAAAAAAACTGTGGAACTACGAAAGCAGATTTTGTAACAGTGGATGGTTTAACCGAAATATTTATTTTATTTGGACACCAGGAAATCAGCATTTACATCTCGAAAATACTTTCCAGGACAGGTTTGGTGTTAATGTTTGGCTGGGATCATTAGACTTTAAAGTAGTGGGTTTGATCTTTTCTATTAAACATTTAACAGGCGACATTTATTTTGATATGCTGTCTAATAATTTACAAGACCTCTTGGATGAGCCCCCAGTGTGTTAAGTAAATTTAGATATTTTTAACATGATAGTGCGTGATGTGATAGCACAAGATTTTTAAACAATTTTTAAACCAAACTGCACAGAAAAAAATCTATCGTATCATCAAACATAATAACTTTTATTCAATGATACACTCTATTCCGTATTCCTAGAACATAGTTAAATTTTACTCAATAATAGTTATGTCTTTGAAAAAGGAATATACTTTCTGATTATTTTAACAATAGGCAATTATTGAAAACTTGTTAAAGCATTTAATTTTTGTTATGATTGGATGCCAACAATAGTCTGTTATTGGTTTAAACATTAGTTTCCTTGCATGAAAATTAACTTATCTTTATTGAAATATTAATAAATATTGCTGTTATTATATTATAATTATTCTACAACAAATTCATTTATAAAATAAATAGTAGCTATTGTTAAAAGGAAACTAAGGAAAAGATTAAATCGATTAATTTATGTAATTAATTAAATTTTAAGAATTATTTCAATCAACTGTATATTTATATACATATAATTATATTATATATTCTTGATTATTGAAACTATTTTTGATTTGACCTTTCTCTAAATTTTATTTAATTATATTGCTATTATTAGTCAATTAAAGAAAATAGTATTTGCTTCATTAAAAGCTTTTTATTAAATTTAAGTTCAATTATAAATAGCTATATAAATTAATATATAGCTATTTATAATTGAATTAAAGTTTAAAAAAAGCTTTTAATGAGGCAAATGCAATTTTCTTCAATTGAATAGTAGCAATATGATTAAATAAACTTTAGAGAAAGGTCGGAAATAAAACAATACTTCTATTAAACTTTTTTATTTTTAGTTTACAACAAAAAATAAATTCTATAAATCTCACTTTTCAAACACTTTTTTAGGAAAACGCCCTCGTTCTCCATTGCATTTATCTTCCCCTTTCCTATTTTTCTCGGCAATCTACGCCAAGGCTCGGCAAAGCGCTCGGCATCCTACGTCATGACGTCTACCAACCTTAAAATGCTTAGTTCCCTGCTTTCCCTAGATTTAAATATTACTTTATTTAAAGTGTATTTTAAGAACGTTTTTAAACAATTTGGATCTTAATAAACTACGGATTGTTTAATAGATCTCCTCACCGCATTTAATGGAAGTCCAAAGTGTATGGTGGCAAATAAGTAATTTCTTTGGGCATTTGGTCTACATACCTATCTGGTTTTCTCCATAAAAAAGGTTTAATTAAACGGCATGCAATAAAGTTAAAGTTTTTTTAAAGTAGTTATAAACGGAAAATCTAAGGGTTTCTCGTTTTATTTTACTACGCCACAATCGCCAGTATTCGGACCCACCTAAACTTAAATCTTACATGCAAACAATTATAGGTGGGTACCTACTCAATAAAATAATCAATAAATGTACTTACCATTAAACACGGGAATGAGATCTTCCAAACCCCAACTTTTCAGCACATATTCCATTATAAAGAAATACTTAAAGCACAAAACGATTGTTAAACAACACGCGTTTGACACTAATGGCTGAAGAACGGCGTCTTCGTTATGCTCCCCTCCCTAATTTTGCGTGTGTTATAAAAACAATACGTTTGGGTCAACAATAACTTTTATTGGATTTATATTATATACAGTTTATTTAAACCCTTTAATATTCGGCTAATAATATATTGTTTGGTTATAATATACATTAGTGTTGAGTCAATGATTCTTCTGATGGTTAGAAAAAAGTTGTTGATTGTATTGATACATTATATTTTAACGGAATAATATGATTATTTGTCTAAAATATACTACTTTTTAAAATAGAAAATTGGAAGCAACAATAAGTATATTTATTATTTAAACAAAGTGTAATATTCATTAAAATATTCTTTTGGTTGAAAACATAATAATATTTTATTAGTTTTCAATGATTGTCTTTTTATTGAATAAACTAAACGTTTTATTTCAAAAAAAACTTAGTTATATTAAAAAGCCAATAATAACTTTATATTTAAGACAATTTTAGATTTAAACTTTCGGCAATTATTTTTAATTAACAAGAACATTCCTGTGCTTGAAACAAAGTGAACGCACCCAAAAATAAGACTGCTATTGACTGTACGATAGAGTTTTTTCTGTGTGCTGGATTTATAACAATGGAACCAAAAATTGGCCTGCGATATTTCCAATATTTTTTTTCCATATATTATTAAACATCACAAATACACAAGTATCCAAAACCATGTCAATGACTTGTGTTAAAATTACTCCGGTAGTTTTAAGAAACATTGGAGG